GAGAAAGTTAATTTATTTTAATTTTTAGAAACATTTCAGTAAAATTCTTGTTTTGAATCAAGTTTCAATCCCTGAGATTTGAGATCAGTCTGTGTAAAGAATCATAAATAACAATAAGTCTTGTTTTGCGAATCTTGTTTATCTTCAAGTCTCTCTACTCCTTTTACTTACGTTTCGTATTGCATTATATGTGGGTGGATGAATTTCAATTTTCTCACGATTTCAATGATTTTTTAAAAGAGTGTAAGATGCACTTTGAAAGTTCTGGGATTGTCTCTAAAAACTGCTCTACACATATGAAAGGAAATTAAGCAAATTACCTGAAGATTATTCTCTTCCCTTTCTTTCTTTCTCCATTTAATCCTATGACAAAACAGATAACATTTTATCGTCCCATTCAAACCCTTATTGTACATTAAACATATCAAACAAGAAAATAAAAAGAACTTCTCGTTAATGAAGTTCTTTGTGCTTTACGGTCATGTTCATTCAGTTCCAATATATTCAACTTCAAGTTATGAAAAATCAATAAATTATGTTCGTGACTCTGCATCACCGACATGAAAATTTGCAAAGCGAAATGAATGAAAAGGGATTAACAAGAATAAGAAATTATTTATTGATTGAGTTATTTCATTTTCCTTTCCATTCACTTAAGTAGAAGTCAAAACGCCTTTTCGATATCGACAATTACAGACGACTGATGACAAGTTAAAATCGATAATCATTACGTTATATGAATAACTCCAGTTTATTTATATCGATAATGTATCGATATTGTTTACAACTTGTAATTTATTCGAGAACAAACGTTCTTTTCATGTGGCCTAGATTTGTACGTAGTTTGTTTCATGGGCCAAAAGTTCCAATCCATATCAAAGAACATTAATAATGTATGAATTCAGAAGACATATAACTTGATGTATGATATTCTTGTGCCACTTTATCATTCTTTGCTATTGATTTATTTCCTTTCATTGAGTATGTTCTTCTTGGAAGGCATTAAACAGCTTTGAACGTTTAATGTATCAACACACATAAGGATATCGTTTTAAATTGCGTTAGCATAGGTTATGGTCCAATAAAATTCGGATATTTCATATCGATAAATCATCTACATGTAAGAACATTTACAGAAGAATTGAGGAAAAATCTGTCAATCATACAGAAGACTATCAAATGATTAATTTTTATTGATGGAAGAATTCGTCAGCTTCAGAAATGAATGAAAAAAGTGAAGTCGCTATAAATGAAAGAAAAAGCTCGTAAAGTCATTTTTTAGAGTCGGAAGTTACGTAAGCGTGAAACAGAAAGCCATTAAGGGCTTTAAATTTCCCTCATTGAGCTCCCGTTTATTATCATCATTGTGTGTTTAATGTTACGTGAAACGGAGTCTGGCGTCAAAGTTAAAGTCTGCCTTTAATGGCATTGACACTGTTTTTCAAGACAATGTTAATGTGAGATAAATGACATTTGCTTCATAGCGACTTCTTCGAATCTTGATATTTAATCTTTAAAGAACGTGCTAGAAGCTAGAACAAGTCATGAATCATGTAAATTTATTTCATGACATCGAAAATTCAATATAACAAGTCTCACGTTCTATTACACTTTTATCAGAGGTTTTCCATCTTTCGTTACAGTGATTGACTGTCTTCTCTCAGAATGGGGTCCTTGGAGCGAATGCGATACAAAGTGTGGAACTGGCACGAGATCACGAACACGTTCAATCCTTCGAGCGCCTGAAAATGGTGGTAAACACTGTGCGTCACTTACTCAAAAGCAAGGCTGCGAAGGTTACAGATGTAAAAGTCTTCACGAACGAAAAGCTCTGAGTGGTAATTATTTTTCTTTTATTATTTGCTTATTTTATGTATCTCACCTATTTACAATTTTATTCCTCTCTTTTGACGTTGAAAAAACAAATCATTTACGTTAGAAGTGAAATTTCAAGAAGAAAAGCAAATTAAATTCCTAAATTAAATAAATGAAAACAAATTAGATATTTACGGAAAAAAATTCTTTCACGCGTTTCATGTTGATTGATTGAGTTTCACTTCATTTAATCGCTAATAAATCTTGTTTTCTTTTTTCTCACTTTTCGACAACATTTTAGAAACGGCAATGCTTCTACCATCTGAGTTTTCAAAGAGTCGACGTGAAAATGATACAACAGACATAAGGCGGAACTTGAAATTGCGTTATTCAGATTTGTACAAGCACAATCGGGATCATGAGTGAGTATATAAATAAATTTGTATTCAAATCATGAGCTAAGAAAGTTTTCTATCAAAACCTTTATCAAAAAAGAAAATTCTTTTGGGATTATTTATCATCTTGAAAGTTTCTCCCTTAACTATAACTAACTTGATTATCTAAATATCCTAAGAAAATCATTTTTGATATTTAATTGAATTACGTTGCATACGGTCCGATCACGTGTGGATGTCTTTATTATTTGTTTGGGTTGTAATTTGAGTATCAGGTAGAACTTTTTACTGACAAAATAAACCACAAGATAATAATAATAACAATAAAAAGTTTGAACGCTTCACAACGATAATTGTCAAGACAAGTTTCATTCATATTAACGCGAACGAGTCATAAACTTTTTCGTGTTAACGCCAAACATCAACCCACGTCTCTTAAGTGCTGTTTTTGTAGAAATTTTTCTTATAATTTTCTTCTTTAATCTCGCAGGTACTGCATAGAATTTGAGGTGATTAAGGCAACAAAAGCATGCCGCAAGGATCCTGTTTACAAACAGTTAGAAGTGGGTGAACGTGTTGTTGTGAAATGTGACTTGGAAGCTTTTCTGCCGCATGATGAAAAGGAAGAAGTTTCAAATAATGAGATTTATAGAAGCGACGGAAATGAAAATTTAGAGAACGAGACAATAGAAAACTTTAAGCATAAGAAATCGTCGAGCAAATCGAAATCGAAATATCGATGTAGAGGTGAAGGAGCGACCGGTCGCAACACAAGATTCAGTGCAATGGCAATTCCATCATGTCGTGGCAAATGGATGAGACTTACAGTTGGACAACCCAAGAAATGTACTCACGACGACTCCCAATTCATTTTCGTTTAATGTCATCGTCACTTGTAAGAAATAAAAAAGAATTACTAACAATCAGAAGACAATGTTTATCAGTCAGTGTTAGATCAAGTGCCATAATCAAGACATTACATTAAAAATTAAAAAACAGTTTGCATTCTTTTGTAAATGGAAATAAAATTTATTCCCGATGAGAAATAAAAAAAAGGAAAGAAAAATGTAAATAAAATATTTCGTTGATATCCGAAGGTCTTCGTTGAATTGTTTTGCATTGAATGAAATGTTGTTTTTTACAATACCTCTGACAGAATGATTACGCATTGCTCCTTAATAATTCAAACATGACAGATTTCCCTCACTTCTCAGTTCGTTTATCATTCGGAAAATATTTCATGTTAAAGTAAGACTTGAAATGAAATTTGAAAGAGTTTTTAAATGTAAATAAACGAAAAATAAAAGATAAAGATTTCTGTTCACCCTAAGGGGAAACTAACGATTTAAATAGATAACCATGGATGATTCAGCATCGAATATAAAATTACAAAACATACCTATCTAAGCTTTCTTTAAACTTTTCTCAAATGTTTTCATAACTTTTAGTTATTTTCATTTAACAAGTTTTCTAAAGAATTTCTCTAGATATCTTTAATGTTTCGGGTGGATTCAGTAATTGCAAGAAATCATTAAATAATTGTAAGAACTCATCTTGACAGTAAGCTGCTGCTGAGAGAAATCAACTTTAATGATCCCCAGGACGAGACTTATTTTCACAATAAAATTTTATGAAATTCTTGTTAGAAGCAAAGCCCGGTAATCTCTTCCATTTGATTGGTTTTTAAAATCCTAATAACTGTAAAAATTTATAAAAAGAAAATGTTTGAATGAAAATTTGTAAATTGTAAGTCCTTCTAACTTAGTGATTTAGTTATTCAATAAAAAGAAAATTTTTGCAGGAAAATTAATTTTAATGTTTTCATTTTTATGATCTAAATTTGGAATTCAGAATACGCAGTGATTTCAGTTTAATTAAATAACGAAATCTAAATTATTGTAAACCATTGCACATCATTTTGATGAAATTTATTCCCTGATGAAAATATCTATCTGGGCAGATATTTCAAACTTTATATCCATCGAGGTTTTGATAATTGAATGAACACATTATTTAAAGGTAAGTGGAGGCTGTCTGATTTAAAATGGACTTTTATAACCCAATTACCACCAGCTTCCCAAATTAATATTTTAAATGTTAGATAATTTATTGGATGGAACAATTCAATGTCTGGAAATAATTTTTCTCTGTGTCATGAAATATTGTCACAAATTATTTATTTATGATTTAAAGCTGTGAAATATTGTACCTCTAGTAGCAAAAGCTCATTCATTTAATTGAATAATTATTCATCATTAAATTATAATTTGAAAATTCCATGAGCAGATATTTTACATAACTTGAATTTGTGCGATCAAAATATGAAAATTGCTTTCGAACATATTTCAATATTTTTCTATTTGCTGCATTTTTTTTGCTGCATTTACCTATTTAAGATTCAATTTAAAATAAAATCTCAGGAATATCTTAGGAAAAATGTTTTATAATACAAAAGGGATATTTCAGTTGCAGACAGATGTTGCTATGTTGTTAAGCAAGTATGAATTCTTTCAGAATTTCTTGGGAAATTTCCATATTTTCAAATCATAGAACCATAAAAAATGAAATTTAAAATGGTTAAAGCAACGGAATTTCCTAAGGCAACATGGAAAAGAAAACAAAATACCATCAGTTCGTTACCAACGGTAGTTATAGCCTTTGGCTTCTAAAGGTAAGTTTAATTGTTAAGAAACTTCCTGGAAAGGATTTCAATATAATTTAAAGTCAAAATGGAAAGAAATTTTTCACAAACAAGATAAGAAAGAATCGATAACGTGACCTATCTAAATGCCTTAAATGAAACCTTGGAAGGATCTTTGAAAACGTTTTACATTTAAAATATTTCTTAATAAAAGAAAATTATGATCTGAGATGTACTAAAATAAAAGTTATTTTCTCATAATTTACATATAAGGCGACATATGCTTAAAAGTTCAATTCAATAACACGTTACATAATTCACATAAAATCATAAACGATATAAAGTGATAAATAAAAAATTTCAATATTTTAGTGTATGTGATAAACAAAATGCAATAAATAAAGTAGAAATGTAATATCGAGTAATGTTTATTCATGGAAATCAATCTTCACTCAACATTTTTTTCAATTTTCCTCGGCAATTTTCAATTTACCATTAATGAAAATTGCTCGTTCGTCATTAGCTTTCAGAATGAGTTTTGGACGAAAATTTCAATATCAATTTGTCACTTCCCACATGTAAATGTCGAATGAGTTTTCTGAGCTTCATCTTCTTCAATAATTGCCAAACGTTTGCTTGGAAATGAAATTCTAACATAAACAAATAGTTGATATTAGGAATTTTGGTTTGAAACTTATAACTTTCTTCATTTCGTATGAAGTTTTATGTCAATATCTAAAATATTTAAATTGAAGTTCATGAATCGAAAAGTTTTCTGAAACGAACTCATGAATGTTTCATTATTAACAAAATTCTCAAATTTTTCTACCCTCTAATAATTTCTTGACAAAATTCTACAAAAGAAAATTGAATATTTTAAAAGGGAAATCTTTCTAAATTATTAATCAAAATCTCAATGGTCGAAGTATAATTTTCAAAGAAATAAAGTTTTAAATTTTGCTAAAGATAAATATAAAATTTTATAAGAGTTTGAAAACACTCGAAGCATATGCAATTTAATTGCTATGTCAACAACGACCAAATGAAACTCAAACTGTAACTTCAAAACTCACAAAATTTTGGTTTGAGTTTGCAAACATATGTGAATGAAAATATTAAGTCAAAGATGTTCATCTGTTGAACTACACATTCGTTTGCAGCATCTTGAAACTATCATCATCATTAATTTCCTAGTGAATGAGACAAGTGGAATTAGAATATAAGCCAACAGATAGCATATTCAAACGAAACATTCAACCGAGTTGACCAAAAACCAATTATTAATTACCGTAAGATAACAAGCTTTCAAGAGCATCACTATAATTTATCATCGGGACCTCCCACAACTTGCCAAACGAATGTGCTAAGCCCTAACACAATTTATGTTGTCCTGTTGATGAAAACAGATTTCCGGTCCATTAATCTTCATAAATTATTTATTCGGCAATCGTTTTTCGCAACATAAAAGTGTTGTTTTTATATTTTTTTTCTTGTTCTAATCACTTCGTTTACTTTATGCCATTAACTCACACTCTTTCCAAAGTTTTTATTGCATGTCATCGTAGAACTTCTACATCTTACTTTTTATCTTGATATCTAAATCTATTTATTTATTCATAATTATATATTAAGGAATGACTTTCAATTTTTCTTGTAAAACGTTTACTTTTCTTTTTTACTTAGAAAAGAAAAAGTAAAAACGATCTCATCAACGTGAAATGATGAGGTCAGAATTTTTTCATGTTTCAACATAAATAAACGACATTGTTTGTTGTCATGTAACAATTTGCATAATCATTTTGAAAATTAAATTGCTAGCAAGCTAGTATGAGACAGCTTCAAGATATAAAATGAATCTTTTGAAGTCTTGCTATTTTACAAACAAATTTCCGTAGCTTTTGTGCATTCTTAACACAATTCTGAGCCATTAACCACAAGCTTGAGTCTAGCTTCTTTTTATTAAATCCGCTTTTCCTAGTAGAGAATTGTGCGACTGTGATAAGCTTCTGTGAGTTTTGGAACACTTGCTTTCCTGTTGCAGTATTCAGCTTCATAATACATATGCCGATTTTAAAGTTCTATTCAATTTTAATTTTTCATTCTCTTATTTATTATTGCACTTTTTAAATGCAATTCTTTGAAAGTTTGAAACTCAATATTATATAAAATAAAAGTATAGCTGAAACTAATATTTCAAAGTAGTAACATATAGAATCTACTAAAATAATGATAAGTTTAATATAGAGCAAAGTTATAGTAAATTGTAAACAATCAAAACTTTCGTAATAACGTTAAACTGACAGCATCGGCGCAACTGTCATTTGACGATCGAAAAAATCGAAAAATTTCGAATTTCGAAATGTCGCACTGTCACGTGATTTCTCGAAAAGAATCAATTCGAATTGATCAATGCGTTCTCAGTGTGCTTAAAATTGTAATTTTGTGAAATATACCAGCTCAAGCTCATTAATTCGTCAAAATGAATGCAGACAATTCCCCAACAAGTAGCGATTCGTCAGACTACGCTGAACGTATTATAAAAGATTTGCGTCA